TTCTTGCCCAGATATTTAATCTGAATGAAGAAACAATCACACAAATTCAAACAAATGGACATCTTAAAAAAAAAAGAAAGAAACTAGCCTTGATTCTTAAAACTAAGGAGGGTCACGTGTGGGTTTTCTAGCTGACAGCATGAACTAGCAACCTAGTCACCAGCTAGCATTAACATGTAATACATGTAAGCAAATAAGCCTACAGATAATTCCAGTCCTTTTAAGTCTTTCTGGCTGTCGTCCTAGACATAATATAGTAGAGAAAAAATATCTCCCCATTCCCTATCCAAATTCCTAACCCAAAGAAACTGGTAGAGATAATACGTAATTACTGTTTCAAGTCACCAAGTTTTAGAGTAGTTTCTTATGCAACAACAGATAACTAATATAGATTCTAAGGCAGAATCTCAGTTTTCCTCAGTAGTACCTACCTCATAGGGTTGTTCAAAACATTAAATCGGCTAATGGATGCCAAGCCTGGCACAGTATGCTTCCTGAATGCTAATTAATAATATAACTTCAACTTGCATAGTCAGAACTATGATGGAGGAATGCATAAGTGCTTTGGGGATAGCACAAAGAAAATGCATTTGATACAGTCTTGGGGTCCATGGGAGGTTTCCTGAATTCAGTGAAGGACTGATTTAACTGGGTCAAGAAAGGGGTAAGGTTTTTCAGTCAGAGAAAACAGATTAAGCAAAGAAAGAGAAGCATGAAACAGCATGGTTTATGTAGATAACTGTAACTTTTGTATTGGTGGAATAAAAGCAAAAGCAACAGGAAACAAGGCTGCAGACACTGAGAAGATTCAACAACAGAAGGCTTTGTATATTAAGTTATGGACCTTATGACAATGGATTTTAAGCAGGAAAGTGATGGCACAGACTTGAAAATTTAGGTAGATAATCCTGCAAGGCTAGTATGGGAGTAAATTTAAGAATGGTAAAGCTTTGCCGGGCCGGGCATGGCTCAGGGGTTGAGCACTGACCTAGGATCCAGGAGGTCACAGTTCAATTCCCAGGTCAGGGCACATGCCCGTGTTGCGGGCTCCATCCCCAGTTGTGGGGCATGCAGGAGGCAGCTGATCAATGATGACTCTCCCATCACTGATGTTTCTCTCTCTCCCTCTCCCTTCCTCTCTCTGAAATCAATAAAGATATATTAAAAAAAAAAAAAAAAGGTAAAGCTTTAAAGGAGACAGAGGAGTAAGGACTCTAATGCAATAGTGCAGGCACACAAGAAAAGATGTGGATGTGTGCCTGGCAGGTATGGATCAGTGGGTGAGTGTCGATCCATGCACCAAGAGGTCGCTGGTTCAATTCGTGGTCATGGCACATGCCCCCGTTGCAGGCTCGATCCCCAGTAGGGGGAGTACAGGAGGCAGCCGATGGATGTTTCTATATTCCTTTCCCTCTCCCTTCCTCTCTAAAAAAAATCAAACAAACATATTGGGGGGAAAAAAGATGTGGATGTGAACTAGGGGAAAATGATTAGACAAAATAGGAGTTGAGAAATAGGGAAATAAAAATTAGAAAGACTTAATGACTGACTAGATGTGTGTATATGGGAAGTTTGAATGAGACAAAGAAGATTCCAGGTTCATGCCTAGGTTTCTAAACTGGGTAGAGAGTGGTACCTCCAATTAAAATCAGAAATAAAGAAAAAGGGTCAGATTTGGAAGAAAAGAGTTTAGTTTCCATCTTAGTGAGTTTGGAGAATCTATGGAACATCCACATGGAAATGTCTAACAAGAAGTTATATATTCAAGTCTTAAATTAGGAGAAAAGGTAAAAACAGAAATACAGATCTGGGAGTCTTTAGTATATAGGTAATTATTAGAACTATAAGAGAACCTGAGAATGGCCAGAGCGTATTGAACAGTAGTTCTCAACCAGGTTCATTATTTGCTACCCCAGGAGACATTTGGCAATGTCTGGAGGGCAGAGGTGAGGATGTGGTTACTGCATATTGTAGGTAAAGGGCCAAGGATACTGCTAAATGTACTACCATGTACAGAGAGCTCCACAGAAAGAATTATCCAGCCCAAAATGCCAATAATCCCTAAGTTAAGAAACCCTGTTGTAGCATAAGAGGAAAAGCAGAGTATAGGAAACACCTTGGGAAAACAAATATTTAGGAAGTATCCACAAGAAGGAAGTCACAGAAGTAGTAAATCAAAAAATGCAATGTCATGGACATCAGAAGTAGAGAATTTCAAAAAGGGGGGGGAGAGGCCAAAAATGTTGAATTCAGTGAATTAGACCCATACAATAAAAATTTAAAGTAGCCACTGAGTTTGCATCTAGAAGGTCACCATGGATTTTAGTGAGACTATAGCAGTATACGAATAATGAGATGAGAAATTTTTATTGAAAAGGGAAGAAAATGAGATTGGGTAGTAACTAAAGTAGTGGTTCTCAACTTTGGCTACAATCAGAACAACCTGAGGAGTTTTTAAAAATTACCAACGCCTGGACCTCACACAAAATAATTAAATCAGAATCCTGGGGAGAGGAGGTGTCAGTATTTTAAAATATATCTTCAGTAACAGTAATGTACAGCCAGAATTGAAACCACAGAGGAAAAGTGGGGGCGGAGGGGATATGACTGGGCAAGGGCCAGTTAAGGGAGAGAAGGAAGGGAGCAGGGAGAAGAAAACATTAAAAAATGAAATCCCAAAATAGGTCAGAAATATGGGATGATGGAATTGCTTTCAAAAAAAAAAAAAGGAACACCTCATCTGAAGAGACTGGAGGGAGAAATAAATAGTAGTATAGAAGAAGTTGGGCACAGGGATTTGGAGAATCATGCCTAGGGCCCCAATCTTCATAATGAAGTACAAGTCAGCTGCTGAAATCAGCTACTGAACAGAAAATGTGGAGAGTANATAGTAGTGTAGAAGAAGTTGGGCACAGGGATTTGGAGAATCATGCCTAGGGCCCCAATCTTCATAATGAAGTACAAGTCAGCTGCTGAAATCAGCTACTGAACAGAAAATGTGGAGAGTAAAATTGTGTTAGTTCAAAATATTTGGTGAGGGGAATGCAAATAAAAAACTAATTGAAAGCACAGACAGTCCAATGGAGATTAAATGCACTGCACCAGAGGCAGGGGCAACGATAGGCTCATTTAAATAACGTTTCTCCAGAGCACTTAGCCATCATCCCCTGGTGGAGGAGCGAGGAAAAGCATCGCAGCGACAACACTAATCCAAAATTGGCAGGACTGAGGGTGGGTGAAAAAAGCAAGTGCACAGGAGGTAAAAGTTTCGATGAACTGTAGTTGAAGAGTTCACTGGGATCTACATCAGGCAGAGAAGGGAGAGTAATCTACAGGCAATTTAACTGGCACAGGACACAGTGGATTTACCTCTGATCACAGAAATTATTAAAACAGTCTAAGATTTCATTGGCCTTTGTCCTAGACAATCCAATTAAACTGGATTTCCATATCCTATAATCATCCTAAGAAGGAATGTCTGCAAATAACTTTGAAATTCATAAAACGTAAGAAAACTAATGAACAAACAGATGGGTAGGTATGTGATAAAGATAGTATAATAACATACTAATAGTAAAATCTAGAAGGTGTGTGCATGGGAGCAAGCATAGGCTCTAGAACAGCACTGACCAAGCAGGAGTTAGAGATGATAGAAATGTTCTATAACCTGTGCTCTGAAATATGGTAACTGCTAGCTAGAGTGACTGAGAAATTTTGAGCTTTGTTAACTTTTTCTTCTTCTTTTTTTAAATCCTCACCCAAGGATACTTCTTTTCCAATAGCTTTTCAGAAAGAGTGGAAGAGAGGGAGGGAGAGAGAGAAAGAGAGAAGGATCAATGTGAGAAAGACATATCGATTAGTTGCCTCCCACACAGGCCCCAACCGGGGCCAGGAATCCAGCCTGCAACAAGGTACGTGCCCTTGGCCGGAATCAAACCCTGGGACCCTTCAGCCTGCAGGCCAACACTCTCATTACTGAGCCAAACTGGCTAGGGCAAAGTTTTGTTAACTTTTTTTTTTTAATATATCTTTATTGATTTCAGAGAGAGGAAAGGAGAGGGAGAGAGAGAGAGAAACATCAATGATGAGAGAGTCATTGATCGGCTGCCTCTTGCACGCCCCTGACTGGGGATCGAGCCCGCAACCCGGGCATGTGCCCTGACCGGGAATCGGATCCTAGGTCGACGCTCAACCGCTGAGCCACGCCCTGCTGGGCAGTTTTGTTAACTTTTAATGTAAGCTGATATAACATGTGGCTAGTGGCTGTTGTTCAGATACTGCAGTTCTAAATTCATATATTCCTGGTTCCAAACCCTGGATCTACCACTAATCCGGTTTTCATTTCTCTGAGTCTTATTCTTACATAAAATGAGAGCAACAATAGCAGCTACTAATTCAAGTGGACTGAGATAAGCAGCTAAAGCATGAAGCACAATCCTATGCATATGGCAAATATTTTTTAAAATTGTTTCTTATCCTTTAATTTACTAACTGGGATCCATGAGATGAGGAGCCACCACTCAGCTGGTGTTTTGCCCACCATCATATCCCCGTATCTACTACAAATGCCATAGCATAAAAGAATCAATAGACATTTGTTGCAGGACTGCTTTTGGCAGTCACAAGACTCTGTTTATTCCTATTAAATTTTATATTAAGTTCATTGTTCCAATGTGCTGAGGTCTTTTTGAATCCTAATGTCACCCAATATATTCGGTATCCCTTTCATTCGCTTCTGAAATTTTAATAAACCTATACTAATCTGAGACATTAATAAAAACTGGTATCGTTAGTTTTATTATCCTTTAGTTTATCATCATGTGTTAACTGGTATGAGTTGAGTAGACATTCAATTTAGCTTCGTCTTCACTCTGTCTATATACCTCCATCTTGTCAACAAAGTAATAAGGATGAGAACCTTATAAAGATTAGATTAAGCCAATATGTCTTTCATTGCAACTACCCTTAAAGAGAACTTAAAACAATTACTGTGCACTCACCCTTCAATAGCTGGGGATCTATCAGGACGAGTACTTCCTTGCGATCTGTATCTCCGAGTCATTGGCAACCGCGGAGGTCGACTTGGTCCCCAGAAGTCAGTGTGAGTTTGGTGACCTCTCTCATTGGCTCTATTATCTTGGTCCAGTGGATTGCTACTTAGAAATGGTCTAAAATCTTGTATAATCATCGTGTGGTCCAAATTGCGCCAGAACTAGTAAAAAACAGAAATAAACCACATTACAGTTTTAAGAACAGGAAAAAGAGGAAACTGGAGGAAAAAAATATTGAAAAAAAGAGAGGAATAACTTTAACACTTCAAAATTCAGCAGCACAAACTAAAGTATATGTTTTCCCAATAGTATGAAGAAAAGTCTTTCAAGTGCATGAACGGGGGGAAAAAACCTTACATAATGTAAAATTTAATTTCCTTCATATAGAAACAAGTCAAACCCCTTTCTTAGCACTGAGCTCATATCCACATGCCTCTGATCAGTTTCCCCCACTTCTGAAATAAAAACATGAGCCAAAGGTGATCATGAACTTCTGTCCTAAGCACAGTTGATCATTTAGATCAACATTATAATTCTGTGTTTTAATGACATCCACATTTTCACTATAGGATAATCTAAGATTTGAATAAAACAGCTGTATTTACACACTTGTAAAAAAGCACAATTACCACAAAGTGGAGACAGATATCTATAAAATACTTCTCTTGATCTAGAGGCTGCATCAGAAAGGGGCAGTGTCAAAGCTGTGTCAAAGCAGTGCAGGAATGTCTGATAAGACCATTCTGTTGTAAATACTTTTACCACTAAAAGAGTATTGGGGGGGGAGGGGTGGAATGCAGGAATGGGTTGAGTTTGGCCAAAGAATCACTAAAGAGTGAGTGAAAACAACAAATCACTTCTGAAATAATTTAAATTTTATTTATCTGTATACCAGATATTTCAAGAGTTCCATAGACTACTACTTATTTTACTCTGCCCAAACAAGTATATAACCCTAGTCGTATTCAGGTCTTTTTGTTTTAACGTTTTAAATGAAACAAAAAAAATTAATGTATAAATAATAACAGGGACACGAAACTGCTCTTAGGTCTTAAAGTGTTCACAGCCTCCCCACCCCCAACTCCAGAATGATCCTTTCTTCTGGAGATCCATATTAGCAACAGCCTCCTATAAAAACACTCAGAGGAAGGATTAACAGCCTAGTTACACATTATGCTGAGGTGACTACATACCCCGCTCTAGTCTCAATCCAATAACTTGTCAAATCAATTCTTAAAATTAAGGAGTTTAAGTTCATCAATAATGTTATTTTTTTCTGGTTTTTTCCAGTTTACAATCTGCTTAATTTTCAAGATGTTTCCTCCCTTTTAATTAAAAAATACACAATATATTACACAAAATGCAATATATTTCTATTCTCTCAGATGTGACCAACCCCTACTCATAATTCTACTCACCTGACAGTTTAATTTGGTGTGTAGAATTTCAGATCTTTAAATACGTGTCTGTCCATATACACACATTAGGTTTTGTAACACACACACACACACACACACACACACACATTCATTCACTTAAAAAATACTTGTTGAGCATGTACTATGTCCCAATCACTTTCTGGGAACTATTAGGATACAGCAGTGAACATAATGTTAAAAAAACTGCCCTAGCCAGTTTGGCTCAGTGGTTAGAGCATTGGCTCAAGGACTTAAGGGTCCCAGGTTCAATTCCAGCCAAGGGCATGTACCTCAGTTGCAGGCTTGCTCCCTGGCCCTGGCTGGGGCTCATGCGGGAGGCAACCAATTGATGTGTCTCTCTCACATCGATGTTTCTCTCTCACACCCTTCCATTCTCTCTAAAAAAGCAATGTAAAAAATATCCTCGGTGAGGATTTAAAAAAACAAAAGAAGATCTCTACCCTAATGGATTTCATTTCAAGTGGAAAGAGACATACATGCTCCCAACCTCCAAAAAAAAGGAAAAGAAAACTGTGTATGTTAAATAGTAATCAATGCTATGGAGGGGAAAAGGTTTGCATTGCTCAGAACACACACAGTCATATTCTTTCCAGCAGTAGCATAGCACAGGTGTTACGTATTTTACATGCTCATTAACATTTTTATTATTTGATATATGTAAAATAATAAATCAGGTATTAAGAAAAAACATAAGGTGGTGTATCAGTAAATGTAGGACTTGCTTCCTCCCACAACCACATCAAAATTACAACTAAACTACAGAACAATCATCTCTCAGAACCACCTAAAATGTAGCTGAACAAAAGTTCTATAACTAAGGTTACAAAGAAGCCATATCAACAAGACTGGTCAGAAGGGCAGAGACGCTGAATGGGCCGATGCCACTGAATGGGCTGATGCCACACCCATATGTGGTGGTTAAAAATCAGGAGGGGCAAGGAGTCCCAGCCCCATACCATGCCCCCAGCCCAGGGTTTCAGTGCCAGGAAGATAAGTCTCCATAACTTCTGAGAGTAAAAATATCAGCGGAGACTGTAGCTGAGAAAACTCAAGGAGCATCTGGCCTCAGCATGCCCTATATATCTTGCTAAGCGGTCCCAGGCACAGCACCAGCGGCAACCAGCCTTAGTTTGCAGGTTGGCCTCTCCTGGGCACCTTCAAGGCCACCAGAAATTAGCAGTCATCTGAAAATGACTTTGTTGCTCATGCCTGGTGGCACCGGCAGTGGCTGATTTCAGCCTACACTTCCAGGGAGGCCAGAGAGCTAGTGTACCCAGCTTCACACAAAGCCGAAGCACCACCCAACCACCTCCATGACCAACATGCTCAAGGGATGAACTCAGCTGAGCTCTGCTGAAGTTGTGCTCCATGGGGTTAACCCCTAACAGCAAATCCTCCACTGTGGTCTCAGTCAGACTTAACAACCAATCAGCCTGGGGCTCAATCCCTTCCACTGATATGCCAACAGCAATCAAGGCTCAACTACAACAGGAGAGTGCACACAGCCCACACGGGGTACACCTGTAGTGCACAGCTCAGGCGACTGAGGAGGCTGCACACCTAGGCCCTACAGGACGCTGACTATATAAGGCCACTCTACCAAGACCAGGAGACATAGCAGCTCTACCTAACACATAAAAACAAACACAGGGAGGCAGTCAAAATGAGGAAATAAAGCAGCATGTTCCAAATGAAAGAACAAAACAATACTCCAGAAAAAGAACTAAACAAAATAGAAACAATCTACCAGATGTAGAGTTCAAAATACTGGTTATAAGGATGCTCAATGGGAAAAATTAGAGAAACTTAGTGAAAACTTCAGCAAAGAGATAGGAAACATAAAAATGGAGATAGAAAACAAAACAAAAAAAAAGAACCAGTTAGAAATGAAGAATATACATTAACTGAAATGAAGAATACATTACAAGGAGTCAACAGTAGAACAGGTGAAGCAGAGAGTAAGGAGCCTCTGGAACAACTTCAAGAGTACCAACATTCACATCATGGGGATGCCAGAAGGAGATAAGAAAGAGCAAGGACTTGAAAACCTACATGAAAAAACAATGACAGAAACCTCCCCTAACCTGGTGAAGGAAACAGACATAGAAGTCCAGAACGTGCAGAGAATTCCAAATAAGATGAACCCAGAGGCCCACACCAAGACACATCATAATTAAAATGCCAAAGGTTAACCGGACAAGAAAAAGCTAGCTAAAGGAGTTCATTATCATCAAAACAGTATTACAAGAAATATTTTCTTCTTGAAGAAGAAGAAAAAAGATAAAAAATATGAATAATAAAATGGCAATACATACATATCTGTCAGCAATTACTTTAAATGCAAATAGATTAAGTGCTTCAATCAAAAGACATACAGTGGCTATATAACAAAACAAAACCCCCTTACATGTGCTGTCTACAACAGACTCACTGCAGACAGAAAGGATATACAAAGATTGAAAGTAAAGGGATGGAAAAAGGTATTTCATGAAAATGGAAACAAAAAATTAAAAAGCTGGGGTAGCAATACTTATACCAGACAATACAAACTTCAAAACAAAGGCTATAACAAGAGCTAGAGAAGAACTCAGCAACTCCACTATGGGTATTTATCCAAAGAAACCCAAAACACTAAATTGAAAAGACGTATACATCCATGTGTTCATTGCAGCACTATTTACAATAACCAAGACACAGAAGCAACCTAAGAGCCCATCAATAGATGAGTGGATAAAGAAGTGGTGCATATATACCATGGAATATGGTTCAGCCATAAAAAGGAATGAAACTGTGCCATTTCTAACAACATGGATGGACCTAGAGGGTACTGTGCTGAGTGAAATAAGTCAGACAGAGAAGGACAAATGCCAGATGATTTCACTTACATGTGAAATCTAAAAAACAATAAATGAACGAGAACAGAAACAGACCCAGAGATACAGAGAACATTTTGACAGTTGCGAGATGGGAAGCGGGTTGGGGGGATGGGTGAAAAGGTGAAGGGATTGAGAAGTACAACTTGGTAGTTACAGTTTAGTCATGGGGATGTAAAGTACAGCATAGGGAATTTAGACAGTAATATTGTAATAACTATGTATGGTGTCAGAGAGTACTAGATTTATCGGGGTGACCACTTTGTAAGATACATAAATGTCTTAATCACAGGGTTGTACACCTGGAACTAACATAATATTGTCACTGAATAATAAAATATTATTAAAAAGAAAACATATATCCATTAACAATCTCTTAGCTTATACCATCAGAGCCATTAAAACTGTGTCCCTCTTTCCCCCAACCTCCACAGTTAACCACTGCACTCAACTGTTTATCATTCCCCTGCTTTTCTTTATAGTTTTACTACAAATGCCCACATCCCTAAATAAATGTGCCTTATAAATTATGAAAGTGTCTTATTGAAGTACTTGAATTTTTGGCTCTACATGTTGATGCATTCATTTTCACACACACTTTTAAATATTTTCTCAATAAACATATGGACTGTTTCTGGGTTTGTTTGGTTTGGTTTTTTAAAAATGTTTTTATTGATTTCAGAAAGAGGAGGAAGGGAGAGGGAGAGAGAGAAACATCGATGATGAGAGTCATTGATGGGCTGCCTCCTGCAAGCCCCCCCCCCCCCCCCC